GTAGGCTGTGCCGTTTCATTCTCGGGTCATGCGGCACAGCCTACCGGTACCAGGCGGCTGCTGCCAATGCTGAGCCATAGGAACCCGGTGGATAAAGAGTAGTGGACCATCAACCTGTACCCGACTGTATGTCAATTGTCATGCAACACATACTTAATGGTCTAATTTGACCACAGACCTCAACAATAGTGTCGGCTGTGCCATCCGAAGTCATGTTCTTTCAGCTGGTTAAAGGGAAGGTCATGTCACTGTCAGCCGTCAGGAAAAAATGTCAAATTTTCAAGTGAGAGTTTTGGACAAACGGGATGTTTATTGAGCTCAGGAATGAGCCTTTAGCTTAGGAACACGATGGCGCTATTTCTTTTCCGTGCAAGGTCTAAAACGTACTTAAAATTGCATTTTAAATTTTGATAATGGTGAAAAATTGACTAACAGAATGAAAAAGGCTAAAATTCCCTTTTAAAAAATAACGGGCTAAATAAAATCGGCTGAAGGACTTAATCTGTAGGTGTTCTGTCAGTTATACGTATTCCCCTTTTTGGTACCTGAAGATAGTTGATCGGTCAAAACTGAAAAGTTTTTAATGAATAATTTTCAAAATTTTCAAAATTCTGAAAATCGGAGATAGCTGTTTAATAGCGCTATGTAAATGGCATATATCATTTCATACAAATAAATTAGTGCTTTTTTTAAACTTCTAGCCATTTATTTGATCATTTGACCACCATTAACCACGCAAAACAAACGCACACAAACATTACATACAAAATTACAACATAATATGACACACATAGCTTAACAGCTTTACTAACAGACCTTTTAACAAAAAACACAAAACACAAAACCAAACAAAGCAAAAAAGAAAAGAAAAAAATAAGCAAACGAACCCAAATAAAAGTGACGACATACGTAAGCATTCGGATCAACTAATAACGGCATTCGTGACCCTCCACAGGGCATCATATCTATCCATTTTGTCATTTATTTGCGCCACATGCTTTTCCATAAGACTGTACTGTTGCAGCGTGCTGATAAAGGTCTGGAAGGTTACCGGTCGGTTACTAACTCTACAATTCCAAATATACTGTTTGGCTACCAAAATCAGTAGATTTAAGCGATCAACAAAGTGAGCTTCGCCTTCGACCCCGCATATTATCTGTTGTAGAGACAGCTCCTCTCTTACCCTGAATCTGTCCTTCAACTGACGCCAGAAACTCGCCACTACCTGACAATGCCAAAAAAGATGTCCAATAGATTCTTGATACATTGGATTAATAAATTAGTGCTAGCCTTAAGCACTGGGCTCTTGGGGCCCAGAACTGAGAAGGGCACCGTACGGTGGCCGGTGGGGCTATTGGAGACGGATTTCAGCGATCCAGGAAAAAAGCGATCAATTTAGCCTCAAGTATGAAATACAGAAAAATACACATTTTACCCGCGCTCTGCTGGGAAGGGGGAGGTGTTGAACAACCCCTACGTGCGACATTTAGCGCAAACATCTATAAAAAAACCGCGGCGTGGAGCGGCACACCTTATCCTACATCTTTTCAGCACATGTGAAAATTTCAGACCGAGGTCACTCAAGGTCAGGTCACCAGGTCACTTCAAGAGACCTCACCTCATAAAAAGTTTAAATGTCTTTCATAACTACACCGAGTAAACTATTGCTTTGAAGCTTTCAGCGATTGGTAAGAGCAACAGCCAACAGTACAAAATGCATGACTCGGAATTTTAACCCGCACCCCGTTGGGGTCTGCCGAGCAACGCGCCCTGTTGGGGGGGGGGCAAATTGACCCCCCCCCCCAAGATCTCGAGAACCACGCAACATAGCGACAAATAGCAAACGGTGCTGGATAGCCCCAACATGCAAATACCTTGTGACCCAGTTTCACTGACCTAGGTCGAACCGATGACGTCACAGGTCAGGTCAAATGTCGAATGTTCACCGTTTCCAGGCATTTCAAGAAATGCATTGTAAAATCGAGTAAAATGCATTTCATTGAAAATTATCGATGGGAAAATGCTCGTCAAACACATATTTTGCTATTTGAGGTCACTGATACCAGGTTAGGTCACAGAGGTCAGGACACTGAGGGTCACAATATGAAAATATCATGAGATGCATGTTTTATGGTCCATTTTATATGCCAAATGTGATTATGTGGGTCAAGCAGCCCTTGGGGTCAGTTTAGATTATGTTCTGGTCTAGTGAAGGTCAGGTCAAGGTCAGGTCAAGGTCAGGTCAAGGTCAGGTCAAGCTCAGGTCAAATTAGGTCAAATTTCAAAGTTGATATTTTTGCATAAAATGGGTATCGATTCGATGCAGCTCGTCACGTGGAGTTCAATGGTGGTCTTTCTTTTGCGCTACGTGGTCTAGAATTGCTAAAGTTGAGTTCAAAAAGTTGACGTCATCAATTTTGAACGGGGCGAGGGATAACGCTTGTGAATTTTCCGACAAATCTAAACACCACGCTATAGTTATGCTGCCAGACTATTACCTCGTTAATGGTGTAAAAAACACATCCAAAAGAGGTACATTTTCGGAATCAGCGCACCGCAGAGGAGACTCTGAATGTCTACCTTTCAGCAAAACCGAAACGCCCTGCCGTTTCCGCCAAAATGTTAAAGGGACCCTCCCACCTTAACATTAGTTTTGAGTTGAGATAGCCAAGTTTGCGACCAGGCTCAGAAACCACCATTTATCCTGGTCGCAACCCCCGCAGCTTTATGGTGTTCAAGAAATTTCTTCCCTTTACTTGCAGGGTGGGACCAGCGTGGTCCCCATCTCTCAACCATTACGGGAATCTGATGACGTCATCAGGCTTTCGAACGTCCGATAAATGTTTGACTAAAACGTTTTGTACCACGCGGTGGTATATGCTGCTTTGCGCGCAACAAATGCCGCACTTTCAAATAAAGTCGCTAGGAACAGCGGAGATCCCAAAAAGTAAACAAAAGTAAAAGTCTAATATCTTGAAAACCGGTGAATATTTTTCGATCAAATTTGGTAGATATTCGTTTTTGCTCTTTCTGAACCGAGCGACATCACTTTCACGCCAATTCATAAACTTTTTTGAAGGTGGGAGGGTCCCTTTAATGGGACGTTGTCGTTGACTTGTTTATTGTTAATAGCGCAAAATGCTACCCAACCAAAGGCCAAAACTCATGAGCGATACATTTTCGAAATTAGCGCGTCACGGAGGCTATGGGCCTGTTCCAGCGCCTCCAGTAGAAATTCTTGAATGGAGGCTCTACCAGAGTTTTAACCCACGAGCCGCTGGGGGGGGGGCATAAAGTTGCCCCCCCCTTTACGTTTTGTAGAATATCTCCGAAACCCGATGAGCTACGAACGTGAAACTTGGCACAGCTTCAAATGAATACCTAGGCAATGTTTGAGGAAAGTTTGGTGGTTGTAGCACTTAAGATGACGTCACAGTGACGTCATAAAGTTTTGTCGTTTTCCGATATGGACCGTTTCTGATGACGCTGAGCATGAAACTCAACTGCAAATGAACTAGACAGCACCTGCTGTCATCTTAAAACATCTAAGTACACTTCCAACTAGTTCCTGACCAATAATCGGCCCTTTATATTCGGTCTCATGTATCGGATATATCGCGAGGAAACTGAGAGTCGCAAATCTATAATTTGACTTCTGACGTCACTGTGACGTCATTTCAAATGCGATCGACACCAAATTTGGACACAACCTCGGCTAGGTGTTCAGGAAGATGTGTGCAAAGTTTCGCGTCTCTATCTTTTCGCGTTGCGACGATATCGTCGCAGAAGTAAAGGGGGGGCAACTATATGCCCCCCCCCCCCAGCGGCTGGCGGGTGGCGCGGAGGCCCAGCGGCCGCCGGGTTAAGGCCTGGCTACACTATGCGTTTTCTTCGTGCGTTTTTTGCGTGTTTGCGTGTTTTGCGTGATATCGTTCTAGAAAAAAGAACGATATTACGTTTTTGAGATGTTTTTTCACCTTAAATTTTAGTTATTTAAGAGTTATATTAGCTTTTGTATATAACCAAAGTAAAAATTATATTGTTTATAACTTTTTTCCTAGAACGATATTACGCAAAACACGCAAACCTGCAAAAACGCACGCAGAAAACGCATAGTGTAGCCAGGCCTTCACTGGAGGCGCTGGAACGCAATCTGGAGATTTCTGCCTTCTGGAGATTGGCATCACAGATACCAAATGAATGACGATTGTTCTCTCTTGACTCTTGAGACACAATATTTTTTCAATTTTATTAAGAAAGATTAACAAAATTATAGCAAATGTAATTTTCTTTACATTCAAGTTGTAAAATATTCAGCCAAAAGTCCTTTGTTTACATTCCTGATTGTCACATGTGCGCCCTAATTGTAGACCAGAGCCTCCAGAGAAATTTGGACCTCTCAACTCTCTGGAGGCTACTGGAGGTTTCTGGAGCTTTGGCGAGGGCTTTCTGGAGCTTTCTGGAGGCGCTGGAACGCTCTCTGGAGGATTTTAGAGCTTTCTGGAGGTTTCTGGAGGCGCTGGAACAGGCCCCAAGCATATTAATTTTCAGCCAAAATCGAAGGATCCCGCCGTTTCCCTCCAAAATGTTAAACCGGCACCGCCTGGGCTATTTCCGTACCCATGACAGCCTGAGAAATGGTCGGATCCGACCCCCCCCCCTGTTATCTCGAGAACCAATGGTCGTATCGAGCCCCGCGAGGCGGCGTTTGAAAGGTCTCTACGAGTCACGAGACCTTTCCAAACCACTCTTAAGATTTTAAGATTAAGGTCAACTTTCGGGTCAAGGCCAGGTCAAAGGTCAAATTCTGGGGTTTTGCATGATGAGGCTTATGGACAGCGGAATCGATAGCTCCTGCTCAAAACTCACCAAAAATGACGTCAAAGGCCTAGTAAAGATACCATGTGCGTATAAGGGTCATACTAAGCACGGGTCGGTCAAGGTCAGGTCAGGTCACGAAAGGTCATGGTTTTCACTTTCTGCTACATGGGCATGTATACCTCTGTGTTCGTATCCAGCCGCGCGAGCATCGGCAGCGGGCGCTGGCGACTCGGCACAACAGTCGGCATCGGCTCCGCCAGCAGACGCCGCGACTGGGGCCCCAGCACCATTCCTGCCGCTCGCTCTCACTCGGCACCTGCCCCCACTCCTTCGGCGACGGCGCTCAACTGAGTTGTCCGCAGGCGCACACAAGTCCGGACACCGCGCAGCAGTGACGCGATGGTAAACTCCCACGCAGCCGCATTCGAATCGCACCAGTCACAGGCACGTCGTAAGCTCGTGAGCTGACGTGGCCACTTCGCTTGAATTCACCAGCTTGCACTACGTTCTAAACCACCACCAATACCCCCAGCCCCCCGCCCGAGTCCCGCGCTGCTATTGGTTCCCGGCCGACACGAATGCGCCAACAGGGCCGCGGCCGCCGACTTGGCGCTGTGCCAACAGCGCTCCACCGCCGCTCTTCCCCTCCCCCTCTGCCTTTGCTGGCCTGTTCAGACCCGACGTGGCGTGTTCGGACCGGAACGCTGTGCTGCGCCACCAAGGGCATCGGGGGCGTCAGAGGCGGATCCAGCGCAAACCACCCTGACAAAACCCATAAGGACGATTTTGAAATAAGAGGACCGTGCACACAATGAAACTTATCATAATATTGACATAGACATGATGCAGAGCACAAAAAAATTGAAATTTGACATAGGACAGTATCAATAAAGCAACATGATAGAGCGAAAATTACGATCCAGTAGGCAATATTATTTGTTACCATAACAAAATACCAAGGTACGACCCGCCAAGAAAAAAAAAATAGGTTGGCTGCCTGTATAAGGTATATCTTTTTCTGGGGGGAATAATGTTAAATGACATTAGACGTATTCATCGCCGCAGATCGATTATTGTGATGTTGGCAACCAACTACTTAAAGGGACCCTCCCACCTTAACATTAGATTTGAGTTGAGATAGCCAAAATGGGGTCCCTGGCTCACAATTACCGGTTTCGGCACTCACAACATCGAGAAATGCCTTAAATCGGAAATATTGAATTTCAAAATTGCAGCATTTTGATTCAGAGGGGCTAATGCTTAGGAATACCCCTCTGAATGTGTGACGTCAGCGCAAATATCTAACGATTTTAAATGTTTGACTAAAACGTTTTGTAGCACGCGGTGGTATATGCTATTTGCGCGCAACATCTGCCGCAAACGCCGCACTTCTAAAATAAAGTATAGAAACAGCGGAGATCCCAAAAAAGTAAACAAAAGTAAAAGTCTTATATCTTGAAAACCGTTGAATATTTTTCGGTGAAATTTGGTAGATATTAGTTTTCGCTCTTTCTGAACCGAGCGACATCACTTTCATGCCAATTCATAAACTTTTTTGAAGGTGGTAGGGTCCCTTTAATAACTGGGGGGGGGGGGGGTACCTGTTGAATTCATTCGATAATACAATTTCGGTAAGTTCGATATAATCGATAATACAATTGTTTGCGCAATCGTCCATCTAAAATAGTTGGCCACCAAATAAACGAAAACAATAGTACAATTTTCATATAACCCAATAACTCACATGAAAAATGCAGCTTTAAATGGGATATATGATTATCGATCAACCAATTCAGGATAACAATAACGAAACCAGCGCTAATTTGCTGTCGCCGGTATCAGTATGGTTTTTCAACAATCGTATCTTGGCGGGTGATGCCGCGGCAGAACAGCGCTGCGCGGCGGTCGACCGTCGCTCGGGAGGCACTGTGGCAGGCCTGACGTCAGTCTCCGCCCCCCCCCCCCCCCCCAGTCCCAGCAGCTGGTTGCTGGTGGGGCAGCGGCCGACATGTCCGGACGCGTTTGGTCGATAGCGTCAGCGGGCGCCAGCCGGCGGGCGCCGACGCTGCTCGGTGGGCTGGGAGCCTCCCCTCCCTCCCCTTCCCTCCCTCTCCGAAGTAGGTCTCTCGTATGGCCCCACGCCACCAGATGGCACAGCAGTCAGCAGTCGCAGCGGACAGTGAACCGAGAGCTCACGGGAGAGGTGAACCCCTCACTGGTGTGGGTGCGACAAGGCCCTCAGCAAGTAAGAAAGCAAGCATATAAGTAGGTAGGTACAGTCGCATCCATACCCCAGGACAAGCCCTGGAAAGTGGATACCTTTAATTAAAGGAAATAGTTCACTTTTTAACATGGGTTTTGAACTGGAATAGCAGTTCCGTAGCTTGGGCTGAGACGAGCATAAATCAGGAGCTTTTACAGCCCAACGATCACCCTAGGCAAAGATATTCTATTTCCCGTCCCGAAAAAGGTGTCTTGCGTTGAGGATGTGTGCCTTGCATATATTTCCATCCAGTATGAAAAGAGCATGGGTCCCGAAAATTCTTCAGAAACTAGAGAAATTATCTACGAGAACTCTAGAGAAATTCTCGTACTGATCAATTAGGACATTCAGGGGAACATTATCAGATCGAGCAGATCGCCCAAATGCCGGTGGCTGCGATAATTTCTCTGTTTCTGAAGAATTTTCGGGACCCATGCTCTTTTCATACTGGATCGCGTGTGCCTTACAGAAACTGAAAAGTTCTTCTTATATCAAAATATAGAAAAAAATCTTTTGTTATAAAAAGGTTTTATTTTCTTTGCTGATTATTTTGAACATAAAAAATCATAAATCGTTGCAAAAAAAATAATTTCGTGAAAGTGAACTATTTCCTTTAAAGCAAAGGATGATTTCACTGACCTGACGCAGTGGTCCTGGCTGGACTACCGGCGCCTGCACCGTGCCGGGCGGCGCCGGCGGGGCCGGGGGCTGGAGCGCGCTTTGAGCCAGCCCCACGGCAGCAAAGTCCGACACTGGCGCAGCACCCTGAAAACAACAAGGGAATCAGAGTCTGCTCTTCCGTACATGCGACAAATCTCAACACACGTGAGCCCACAGCGCATTATAGGATATCATTCTGAGGCCTCGCCCCAAAGCAGGCTGTAGAAATCGGTTATAATCAGTAGGCAAGAGCACAGAACAATGAAGAGAATGAAAATATATAATTATGAGTTACCGGATGTCACTCCGAACACCACCGACGGTCGACGAGCGATGCATGTCCCATGGCCCATGGTCCAATGGATTAGGGAAGCAAGGTATAATCCCTGATTGAAATGGCACAAATATAGTGAATGGTATGCACAGTACACCTACAGATTAGCGCCGTTAGTTTGCAGGATCAGTTTATATCCTGATCAATGACCTTCACCCATACACTTGCATTATTTGTGCGGAGTATGCTTATCTGAATGGGAAAGGTAAACGGTTATGACTTGAAATGCACGACACTTCTGCACAATTTAATAAAAGCGGCTTTCAAAAACGAAAAGGAAACATTGATAACTTGCAATAGGAAATTTTAAAACAAAGTCGACAAGACATTTGCTTGGAACTTTGGAATTTGAATTTACATTATATCTCACATGAAACATTCGTTACAGTCTTACCGTAACGAATGTCTGTAAGACTGTAAGATGGCTCTGTCGCAGGCAAAGACCTGCGACAGAGCCATCAATCACCGTAACTACGCTGGAAAGCGCTGTTCCTACTAAGAAATGCAGACAACTCGAACTAACGGATATGGTGCCCACTGCCCACCATAGGCGGCGGAACGGGGAGGGCAGCGGGGGGTGCCCCCCCCCCTTTGATTTTGGCATTTTAACATTATCCCTATGGGCGTTGCATGGAAAGAATGGGACCAAAAGTCGGCAGTGCCTATCCCACCTTCTAAAATGTTGTTAAAACCAGTTAAATTGTGCCCGACTTTATAGATTGGATGACCAGGAACACGGTTCTGGCATTTACTTTTCATTAAACATCTTAAGCTTCCCATATTCAAAACACAAACTTTCAAATATGTGACGTCACAGCCCAAAATTACCTCATTCCCCAGGCCACATTACTGTCATAAAGCTGATTCTTTTTACTCTGTAGGCACCACAACAAAGCTCAGACCAAGTTTTAAGCGATTTTTCAACGAACAAACCCATTTAAAAACAGAATGACTAAACGAGGTGACGTCACACTTACGGTCGCTCCATGTTGAAGAAAGGGCCTTGTACAAGGCCCATTTTCAAATGAAGGGAACGAATTTCTTCAACACCAAGAGGCCGCGGGGGTTGCAACCTAGATAGATAGTGGTTTCTGAACCTCGCCGCAAACTTGGCTATCTCAACTCAAACCCCATGTTAAAGGTGGGATAGTCCCTTTAAAGGTGTTCCGCCGCTACTGGCCCACTCCACCCCGAGCAGCCCAATTTCAGACAGAGTGCCGTGGCCCCAGTATTTCTTTTCTCACCTGGGCCAGAAGGTATCCGTCGGAATCCGGAGATCCCTGATTGAGCATCAGGTGCGCCAGGTCAATGGCGGCCCGGTAGTTACTATCCGCTTCCAAAGCCTGAACTTCTTCTCTGGAGAAAAGCGTCTCTGTGTCTGTGTCCGTGGAGGACCCAGACATGATTCCGCTAAGGTGGCTCGTCGCTGGGACTCTGGCTGTTCCACGGCCAGTCGGTCATTGAAGGCGCACTCTGAAACCGGGCGAGAACGGGGTGTCGGACCACGAGAAAAAAAAACGGAACTGGGAAAAAGGGCGGAGCTTCCCTGCGCTGGTCGGCCGGCCGCCTTGAATTGTTTGCGGCCCAAAAACTATCATCGGAATCGGCGGTATTCCAAATTTTATGCAGTCCACACTCCACCAAATTAAAACAAAACAAACAAAAATTGAAATAAAAAAAGATCACCTTGCAAATGAATAAAGCTAACCAACGAAGGCCTGGCAGTTTTAACAAGCCAGTCACGTCATGAACGATCCGATTAAACGTCTTTAAACCGCTGGCGTAAGTCCAACAGAGGCGCCCTGCGGTACACTTGACACAGCAAGACCCCCACGTGTTCAGGGATGAATCATACAGGTTTCTATATACCGTGAATCATACGTTACACCGCCGGTCCGTCTGCCTCCCCAGCCCCGCGGCTATCATACGTCCCTCGTTCGCTTGAGTAAAGGCACAACCATGATGGACAAACTAGCAAGTGGAGCTTCTCAAGCGGTCTTAGCAGTACTCCGACCCTACCGATAACTGTGTCTCCGTCTTCGCGTGGGACATGGAAAATCTGGAAAATCTGACGAACCGCCGCGCCGCCCCCTCCACCGCTGCTGGCCGCCAACCGCCGACTGGCCGCAGAGGCTGCGGGCGCCCGCCAGATGACGCCACCGGACCACTGTGGCGGCGCCACCGTCGCGCTCGTCGCCAGCGCGCCGGACGGCTGACGAAATCTGGCGTGGCCGAGCGGCGCGGCGCGGCGGCAGCGGGCCGGCCAGCGATTGGCTGGACGGCGGGCTCGCCGAGAGGTAAGGCTCAACGACTGACGACACGTGATGTAACCATGTAGACTGCGAGTTTATGAAAGCACTCGGCTGGGCCGCTGCAGATCTTTACTTCGGTCCTATCTCTGCACAAGCTAGTCGACCTCGGCATACAAATACGCTCGTCAGCCCAGCAACCA